CGTAAGCATATTTTGGCGTGCTGTGTCCTGGGGGAGGGCTCCAAGCCCGGAATACAGCCTGAACCCAGAGAACTCCCCCTATCCCTAGTATGGGATGAAAATAGATTAAGAGCAAGGAGTTGGGGTGGAGGAGTGATGCCGGAAGACTGTCATAAGTTAGAGGTAAGTAGGCTGCATTATTTTACAAATTATATAAAGCAAAAATTGTTGTGTTGTTTTAATTGTCCAGTATAAATGACACTGACAATGGCAAATCTGATAGTCATAGTATCACATGCTTAATAATAATAATAATGTTTTATTATTTTTTGAAAAAAATGGGGTCAGTTAAGTGAATAAAATTTTGTTTGTGCACAGCTCATTTTCTAAAAATTAAAATAAAATAAAATTGTGAAATATTATTACAATTTAAACTATGTTTTCCATTTCAATATATTTTTTAATTTTTTTTTTTTTTTGATAAAAGAGGCAAAACTTTGAATAGTAGTAATTCTGTACAATATCGACTTCCTTTCCATTCACGACTCTGACAAAACTGGCACAAACTGGGTCACTGGAGGCTTCAGGGTCAGTGGTGTTTTGTACTGTCAGATTGCTTATTGATTAAGGTCTGGGAAATCACTTAGCTTGGCTTGAGCCACTGCCCTCACAAAGAGTCCCATTCCATCAGATGAGCTCATTGCATCTATAAAACTTGGCAGGCGCTACTTATGTGACCCGTTTTGTCATCCTGGTCAGAATGAAGTAGAAGCAGACTGGCACTTTCACAAAAAAAGGATGAATAAGATGATTCCCTAACAGTATTCTCATGGGCGTTATTGCACAGCTAAGCAAACGCAGTGGTAATAAACTGCGGTCAGTCTGTGCGATATTTATGCATCGTATTGAAACAAAGGTTTGAACGTACTTTCGTCCGAGCCACGGAAAGCCTCTCGGGGCTGCAGGCAGGCGTCGATACGCCTGAAGTGTCGGAAGAGTGGGCGGACTTGCTTCTTGCGACTCTCCTTGTCCTCCTCAGCGCTGTCAGATGGGAGGGAAAACAAGTCAGGTAGCTATTCATGTGTAAATAATTGAATGAGTTATTTGTCTCCAAAAGACTATTATTGACCTAAAATTAGTTTAGTAGTGTCATCAGGGATGGAAAATATTCTATGCATGTGCAAGATATTTGAGGACCAGTTATGGCAAGCTCTTAAAACTGTTTATAACTGGACTGCAAGACATTTTAAACTGCAATCTGCCAAAACCATGAAAATGGCATTGATTATGTTTGCATGGCATCCTTATAATTTAAAGATGCAGAAAGACCAAACATGTCAGTGCCAATTAAAGGTTCTCCAGGAAAAATTTGGTTTTTTATAAACTGAGTTACAGAACTGTTTAAGGGTTTATGAAAAGACTGCTGCCTTGTTGAGAGGCTTTAAATGACACAATAGAAATCCAACACAACACATTAAAGTATTAATCTCTGCACATTAATTCTTCATCTGGTTCTAAAGCTCTTAATGGGCAACTGCATGCGCCTCATTTAATACTTTACAACTCACGCTGTACTTCACCAAACTAAGAGGCTGTGAGGCTTCATGCCTTATGTGATTTTCTGTTCCTCTATGATTTCTGCAGCCATTATAGCTCATAAAATATATTTATAGCTTATATTAAAATTCCACTGTGAGGATGAAGGGGATTTGATGCTTACGGGCTGTGTAATATCTCAGTCCAGCGCTGAAGCTTCAGGACGTCTTCCACCAGTTCAGGAAAGCGGCTGAGCTCCTGAACGGCGCACAAATACAGCTCCTGAAACGACATGCATTTATTATTAAGATCTGCAGGAGGGAAATAAAGGAGAAAAAGCAACTGATGATTATAAAAAAAAGAACCTTTTTCAAAATTTCAGCAAGCATATTAATATTAATATAATGACAATGTGAAAACAGATAGTCTGACGTCTAAAAACAACTGCAAGAAAAAATAAGAAAACAGCAGGTTTCAAAATAAACCTTGTGTAGTCATGTACCAGAACAAAATATCAAAAACAAGAAAAAAATTACATCTGGAGCACAGGTGTGTTTGTCTTTAATTAAGAAGCACTGATGTGAAACAGACGAAAAGAGCAACATTTTCCTTAGCGGGGCTTTAATATGTTCTGTTACCATAGTAACCCTGAAAGTCTTTTACCAGTGATGACACCCTAAGAACTGTACAGAAGGTACACAATATAAAAATCTCCAATTAGGTTAATTTTTCTAAATACATTTCTAACTAAATTGAATAAGGTTTATTATTAAGGTTTATGCTTAAAACAATTGCCAATGGGTTAATAAATGTTAATTCAAGATATATGCTCTGAAGAAGACTCATGTTGTTTCCCAAATCAATCTATTTTTTTTAGGTATTTCACTGAAAAACAAGACAAAAATACTTATTAAAAAATGTTCAGTGTCTATTTTAGAGTCTGTTTTAGTTTGTTTATTTTTTAGCTTTTTATTTTGTTGTTTGTATGCATTTGAATACTTTTTTTTTTACAAACGTGTGCAGTACCTTTGGGAAGGTGCTGGAGCGATCTCCCTCCTCCTGCAGTAAGTCTCTGTATGTGTCCAGATAGCGGAAGGCCATAGTCAGAACTGCAAGTTTCCGCTCAGCTCCATCCCAGCCGGGCCAGCCCTCACCCTGCTTACCCTCTGAGCTGAATCTGAGCCAGGAGTTAAGAAACAACACACTCACGAGCCAACACACACACACCTGCGCTCACTAAATACAGTCAATACAACTGTACGAACACGTCAACACCTGTACAGACAGATGATAGATAGATAGATAGATAGATAGATAGATAGATAGATAGATAGCCTCAAACACAACATACAGCTGGTGTTTTTCAGCACAGAAATTTGGGTTTTATGGTTTTATGAGTGTATGCAGATAAACACATACTCAGACAGCCGCTGTCCGATCACCTGACACAGATGCCGCACTGGAAAAACAAAATCTATGCTTCAGTGGCCAGACAGCCAGAATAATTACAACCTTTGAAAAGTATTGAGGCCGATGGAACACACCCATCACACCCACACACACTCACTCACACACACACACA